CATTCGAAATTACCGTGTATTTAGCGGTTTTCTTTGGATTTTTTTTACTGATGTTACGATGGCACCTGCTGGAAAACGTCAACGTGTGTTTAGTGTAGAGGAGGCTCGAGATCTTGTTACTATGGAAGCATGGAGCATGGACTCTGATTCCGACGAATCGAGCAGTGACGAAGACTCTAGTGATAAAAGTGTTCCCTGAGAGTAGACTGATAGAATAAGAATGAATAAAAATTAATGAAAGAGCTAGAGATGACAGCAAGAAAGAGAGTAGACTGATAGAATAAGAATGAATAAAAAAAATGAAAGAAGGAGATAGAGATGACAGCAAGAAAGAGAGTAGACAGTGATAGAATAAGAATGAATAAAAATAATGAAAGAAAGAGATAGAGATGACAGCAAAGAAGAGAGTAGACTGATAGAATAAGAATGAATAAAAATTAATGAAAGAGCTAGAGATGACAGCAAGAAAGAGAGTAGACAGTGATAGAATAAGAATGAATAAAACTAATGAAAGAAAGATGTATCCTGTCTTGCCGTCATCTTTATATCTTTCTTTTATTATCTTTATTCATTCTTATGCTATCAGTGTTTACTCTCTTTCTTTCCGTCATCTCTATCTTATTATTATTATCATTTTCCTATCTATATGTACCCTATGTCTTGCCGTCATCTGTATATCTTTTTCTTATTATCTTTATTCATTATTATGCTATGAGTGTAATACTCTCTTTCTTGCCGTCATCTCTATCTCATTATTATTATCATTTTCCTATCTATATGTACCCTATGTCTTGCCGTCATCTCTATATCTTTCTCTTATTATCTTTATTCATTCTTATGCTATCAGTGTTTACTCTCTTTCTTTCCGTCATCTCTATCTTATTATTATTATCATTTTCCTATCTATAATTATGTACCCTATGTCTTGCCGTCATCTCTATATCTTTCTCTTATTATCTTTATTCATTCTTATGCTATCAGTGTTTACTCTCTTTCTTGCCGTCATCTCTATCTTATTATTATTATCATTTTCCTATCTATATGTACCCTATGTCTTGCCGTCATCTGTATATCTTTCTCTTATTATCTTTATTCATTCTTATGCTATCAGTGTTTACTCTCTTTCTTGCCGTCATCTCTATCTTATTATTATTATTATTTTCCTATCAATATGTATCCTATGTCTTGCCGTCATCTCTATATATTTCTCTTATTATCTTTATTCATTCTTGTGCTATCAGTGTTTACTCTCTTTCTTTCCGTCATCTCTATCTTTTTATTATTATCATTTTCCTATCTATATGTACCCTATGTCTTGCCGTCATCTCTATATCTTTCTCTTATTATCTTTATTCATTCTTATGCTATCAGTGTTTACTCTCTTTCTTTCCGTCATCTCTATCTTATTATTATTATCATTTTCCTATCTATATGTACCCTATGTCTTGCCGTCATCTCTATATCTTTCTCTTATTATCTTTATTCATTCTTATGCTATCAGTGTTTACTCTCTTTCTTTCCGTCATCTCTATCTCATTATTATTGTTATTTTCGTATCAATATGTATCCTGTCTTGCCGTCATCTTTATCTCTTTCTCTTATAATCTTTATTCACAGTAAAGTCCTTTCATTTCATATCACTATTTCTCTCTCATAATGTCTCTCACGTCCGTTCTCCATATTTTATTCATTGCATACTCCACTCGTCAATCATTTCTGATAATAAGCTCTCTCACAATAAAGTAAATGGAAAACAATGCAATATAGTTTATATTTTAAGATTGATTCATTCTTTCTTTGTATATCTATGGCTGTGATAAATGTACTTGAAATCAATTTTATTGAGGGGTAAAGAAGGTGAGAGAACAGATGCGGTGAACATTCATAATGAGACATTTCAATAAGATGCTGATTATGTCATGTATATCACATATAATATATTATGCCTATACCATTTTTACATGCTCATACCAGTGGGCAAAATCAATAACATTCTCTTATTTCTTATTGACTTATCATGGCACAACAAAGAAAAACATCCCCACGACGTCCCTTTTCATGCCCCGCTAAACCGGACATTGACAATAACCTGGGGTAATAGGGATTTCAATGGGCAGATTAGCCCATTGTCAAGGGTGGCTGAGCGGGGTACTTTCAAGTCTCTCCCTATTGAACTTCTTTTCTTCAACAACCTAAATACTAACCTTCTGAATTGTTAGAATACTTGAGCAAGGTATGTAAAGAAAGGTAAGAAGTCCACCTTTCTAATAGATTCGATTTGAAGATGTCTTATCATTGCTAAATAAGAAATTCTAGAGGGATAACAAACTGCCGTAAATAAGAAAAATTAAACATTATATAATTATGATTATTATAAAAATGATAATTCAAAATATAACAAATGACGGTTCATCGAAAAGCACGTTTTCCGGTCTACAACTTTGCTGCACAATATTTTTCATCATGATCATCCAGTGAAGAGTTATAGCCTCTTGATTCAGCAGAGTCAATAAAGATTCCCTCGAAATGTGTGACCCTAAAAGAATGTGGCACAGGGGGGTTTTTTAAGTGGCGCATAAAGAGTTAAGGGTTCTAAATAAGTTGTCGAGTGGGCACACTTAAGGGCACCTTTTTTTAAAAATGTACGACAGTGATTGGGTTTGCCGGAGCTCGAGCCCCTATGCAATGCAATTTAATTAATTTGTAATATTTGCATATAAAATAGATGAAAAGATCCCCGACGAAGACAAGAATCCCCTAACCTTTTCTTAATTATGTCGACTGCCATGCACCCTCAGTGTTCTGTGAAGCAAAATTAGCATATAATTTTTACGACGGGAAAGCAAAATGGGAACGAGAGATTTACGTTCCTTCCTACGAATTAAGTCAGTTAAAGGGGCACGTTCCCCCCATTGTAGTTATCGGAACATGCCATCTGCGTAAGAGCCGTATTCTGTTGGAGTCAATAGGCAGCTATAGCGCCGTCCGCCCGCGCGTACGTATTTTGAGCGCCCTCTGGAATACGGGGAACATGCCCCTTTAACTAAATGAAAAAATATATAACAGTGTAAACAAAACATGATTTAAAGCAAAATCAAGCGAAATAAAGCGAAATGTAATTGGGCGCAAGAATAAATATTGCACGTAAAAGATCTGTAATGGCATGGATGAATTCAAGTCTTCGAAATTGTTGTACTTGTTCGCCCTCTTCGTTCACTCACGGAATTGGTACATTTATATCACATTGTATTCTGTTACGCATGTTGGAGACGTCACACTTTCTGTATTTAGGAGGTATCACTGCCAAAGTGGTGGAGGTGCTTAATGAATACCTATTGTTTGCCCTCTTGAGAAGAATACTTCCTCGTGTGTTTCAGAGAAGGTGTCGTCGGTGAATAAAATAATAATGTTCATGAATACTGAATAGTGTTCATAAAAGTTAGGTAATCATTAGTCATTTACAGTTGTACAAGTGCTTTCTCCAAAACAATTTTTTCAAAAGGCCTTCTTTTAGTTTCCGCAACATGCAAATATTAGGTCATTATAAGCCCCCCCCCCCCTTCTCCCCAAGTTTGGAGGGGAAAAAAGGGCTGTTTGATTTGCTTTGTAATCTTTGCCAATGCCTCTGCTGAACCAGCCATTGGTTTCATTGATATGATATATAAACGACCCCCACCTCGGCTTTTCAAAGCCCATGAAGATGAGACCTAGATACGCGCGCCACTGCCCAATTCAAAAAGTATACCATGATGTCAATCAAGTTGTGAATGCTAATGGCCCAAAATCGATTACCAACGATAGATATTGGATCTTATAAGGTCTTAACAATATTATTGTGAGAAGAAAATTAAACTTCAGAATTGTTGTACGACTTTTTTTCTTAACCAGAAATCACAATATAAAAATCTATGAAGGAAGGAAATGAATAGAATAGAGAGACTTTTTTATGGAAAGGTTAGGGCCGTCCTTCATGTGAATAATATTATATCTTTTTGATACATGGCATTGTGAAGGCATTTCTATCGAGACGCTAGTGGTCGATTTATAAAATGAATCGAAATAAAAAAAAAATTCCAGGTACTCTGCATTTTATATCTCTTTACTTACAAAAAGAGGTATTATCGCCAACCGAGATTTGTATCATTGTGACTGACATATGAGGGCCACTTTAAGTGGCTAACAGATATGAATAGATATAATGGTTTATATTAAAGTAACATTTTTAAAGTAACAAGCCGCCGATCTTTTCTTTACTGTCATTATGTTTGACGATGTGCACAAGGTGATTTTTCAATAAAGTGGATGAAAAGAACCTTGGATTTGTTTTTAAAAGTTGATAGTAATATATTATTATTAATGAAGTCTACCCTAATAACCGCAGCTCTATGTAAACATTTCGTGCATAATGAGGAATTGACTGACAAGGCTGTCAATAGAAATAAAAAATACATGTACTATGAATGGTAAGTAAAAGTGCTCACCAAATTTATTGACTTAAATATTCTCAATAGTCCACATCAAACGAAATAGCCACTTTCATTCCAGAATCATCATTGAACACTTTGACTTGACCGACAATATACTGAATCATTGATTGGTACAGTGGTAGCATTGATAGAATGATTGACACCAACGGATGCTATGACATTATCCAATATAATTCATGCAAACATTGACGATGACGAAGGTTTTCGTCCAGATACCCTAATTTATTTTCCATCGCCGATAATAATTATAAGAGTAACTCGACTTCTAATGTACCATACCTCGGATAGCAGTCGTGACAGTGTCCGGGATTTAGTGCAAACAAGTTGCGTTTGTTACTTCGCATTATCATTTTTGTAGCCCATGGACTTGCGTAAGATATGCTAAGATACATAAAGACCTGAATTCAAACAAATTTATATCATTTTTAATTCAGATTAAGCTTGGTTGGTTCTCTTTTGGCATACATCTCGCCGTGATTCTTCAGTATGTTTACCGACTTCTATATACTTCGAATGACTGTTGGTTGTCTGGCGGCTGCCATCGGGATTCCAGGCAATATAGCCATCATCATCGTCTTTACTTGTCAGGGTATTAAAAATGCTACAGACATCACCTTCATCGCCCTTGCCGTTGTCGATCTCATCGCCAGTATCATCAACGGGATGAAGATCGTCATGGTCTTCTTTCACGATGAGCGCCCATGGGCATGCTACATTGAAGTCATTGCAGCGAGGTCGGGACTCTACTCCGGACTGTTTCTCACGATCTGGATTGCTGTTTACCGCTACCAAGCTGTCTGTAAGCCATTTGATCGACGAATCGGACGACGAGCTGCCATCTTGGTTTCTATCGGTTGCGCAATTACCGCCTTCGGTCTCCACGTCCCGTTCTTCTTCATCACGACCTCGATAAAACTCGGAAGAGAGTATGGATGCAATGTCTATGGCGATATATCCTGGGGACGTGACGTATACGCCAAAACCCAAGCGATTGTATTTTGCGTTTCTGCCTTGGGTATTTCAGTTTTGTACATACAGATTTACAAGTTTATTCGCGCAAGCCAGGTTATCCGTCAACAAATGACCACTGGATCTGCCTTTGTAAAAACCATATCGAATGATGTAGAATCTTTGGCATCCAACAAGCAAAGAGCCCTTAACGAATCTGCGTCATATATTGAAGATTCGTGTGCAACAAGAGCTATCCACCAGGCAAGTGTGTCAATACCACTTAGTACCATCTCAAATTCGACACGGCCCTCTGTCACCAGCAAGATGAAAACCCAAGATTCTTTGCCAGACGTCGAATCAGGTAAAACAAGAAGAGCTACACACCAACCCGCCGATGATAAGACAAAACCATCATCAAAGAAGCTTAAGAATAACCAGTCCGACCATAAGACTACTCAAGTTGTCATCATCATCACCGTCATATTTTTCCTCCTCTGGCTCCCTAATATAGTCATCGATCAGATTCCTATTGGTCAGCTCACCAGGATCCTTCTAGAAACACACAAGGGATCGTTCATCATCTATTTCTTCTACCAAATCAAGTATATCAGCCATATCACCAATGTGTTTGTGTATGTATTCACATATCGGCGATTTAGACAAACATGCTGTCATCCATTCAATTGAAATAAAGATTCGATTCGATTTCATTTGTAAACAAAGTGAAATATATGAGTAGAGGTCTTATTCATTTTACATATTGTGTTCTTAAACTGAAATAGCACAGGTATCCGGTAATGACATGAACATTTGTTTAACTCTCCACATTCGGAGCGAATATCACTTATTCTGAAGATTTACAATTATGTTGTGATTATATTTTTGTTTAGAAGAGGATGCATTATGCGGTATACTGTTGTACAGCTTGTACAGAGGTATCACAATTTCGTCAGTCGTAAATTTGTATAATTTCACTAAACAACTTAAACATAAAACGCACAGATTGTTATAAACGTAGTTAGTGGTGTAAATTATTAGTTTGTATTACATCTTGTACCATGACAGTAGTTCTGAAAGGCTGATAATGCCATCAACTTTATAAAAGAGCTCTTTGATTGGAAACCACAATGGGAGGGAATGCCCATTCCCTCCCTAAACTTAGTATCTTTTCATTCAATAGTGACAAGAATGACTATATTTGCAGTATCTTTATACAGTGGACATGTTTTTTGTTGTAATAGATATAATATAGATAATAGAGGCAATTAATTCAGCCTTTATACTTTGTGATTACTCAAGGCTATTTTCGCCAGGTTGTATATATCTAAATAACAACATTTCAGCATTCAATTTGCAGAGAGATTGGTTCTGTATATGATAAATGTGCATGTACATTTGTAGAGTTTGTAGAATTGTATTGACTCTTTGACCCCCTCTCGGGGTATAAGAGTACAAGCAAACATAATCGTATATAGTGGCCCTGAAGGAACATCGAGAATAGACGAAATCGCGAATTATTCACGACGAAATTGGCGACGTCGTGAATTTTATCGCCAATTATTCACGACGAAATTGACGATATCGTGAATTTCGTCGCCAATTTCGTCGTAAATAATTCGCGATTTCGTTTATTCGCGATTTCCCTTCAGGGCCACCATAGAATAGCAATGCATGACCTGTGATTACAATTCTTATACGTTATACATTGATAATGACACAAAGATACAAACGATAATAAGTTTAAATAATGTATGTAAGTACAAATGTGAACAATGTAACCAACTAGTAAACACAATGTACATACAATATAAATATAGAGTGCATCCCAGAAAAAACGAAACCAAGAATTATCGATTAAAAAAAAAATCATGACTTAATCACAATTATGATTAATAAATGACACATATTTGTAAAGTCATGCAGTTGATGCAACTCATATGATGCATATCTCAGACATGAGTGATCAAAAACAATTTGAAGAGAGGAAACTAAAAAGTCATTTTTGGGGCGGTATCTGAATTTCAAAGAGTAAATCACATTTCTAGAAAGTTCATTTTCTGCCCTTTCAAATGAAACCTCAATCAGGAAAAAATGAGCCAGGAATAACAAAGTTCTGTTTGTTTAAAGTTATGCTTGCATTTCCATAATTTTATTAAACAAATTCGTTTTGACTTGCTACCTGCCGTAGTAATATACAGAGTTGACAAAAGACTTAACTCCGTTTTGTCTTCTTTATGCATGGCTGATCGTCAACAAAACGGATTTAGGTCTTTTGTCAACACCGTCTGTTGCTACGGCAAGCAGCCAGTGAAAATATAGTTAGGCGAGTAAATCTTGCTAAATTCTTCAACTGAGAAGCTTCTTATATCAGTGGACAGGCATAGTGTGCACTGCATATCCCAATATGGTATGTTTGCATCCAATCGTCCTTTGTTTACAAGTAATTTATGTGATCTACACCGAAATATTTTTGTAAATGTTCATGTAAGGAAGTTGTTTGTCTTATGTTTCATCATAAATTTATCATAATGTCATCATAATTTCATTATGGAAGAAGGGTACAATATTGTGACTGGGGTAGGGACTAGAGTCAACAATTTGAACATGTTTCATTATTTAGCCATGTCTTTAGCCATCGATCTGCTGGCGGGCAAGTAAACTATGAAACACTTTAAGAAAAACAGAGGGGTGTGCTGGGTATAAGAGACGATGTGAATTACTTTTGTAAAATTCCGAGTCTGTAGTAAAAAGGGGCGATTGAGGGTACCCCCACCTTTCCCGGGTATATGAACATGTCCGTGCAGAAATGCCATATCCCTTGATTTCGCCCCTTCTTTACTTTATGTCTGACTACACCCATCTGCATTGTCCTGAAACTAAATAAATGGAATAACAGCTTAGACCCCAATGGCAAATCATGCATTAACTGCATTATTTAAAAACTGTAAAAGTTGTTGCAATTCTTCCCCCTAACATGCCTAACTTGAATAAAACTATTACGAATACGAATGACAGGTGTTAATTTGAATGATAAAAATTACGCTTCGACAAGTGAATATTAATTTGAATGCTAGTTGAGCAGTTTCTAAATATTGAATGACAGATCTATGAAACCCTTCGACCCAAATCCTAAATTAAATACAAAAACTGGAACATTGAATGATAATTGGCATGGCAAAGCCGATCTGTGCTAACTTAAATGCAAAGTAAATGAATTCGAATGACAAACACGCGAATTTGGCCGGGAAATCCTATATTACCCCGGTCATCGGATTCATGCTTACCCGCACACAAGGTATGCACATTCTCCACTCCCTGGGGAGCATTCCAGCCAGTAGCCATTTTACAAGCGCCATTGCTAATCAAACGACATTATCGGTGAAAACCGATAATAGCTTTCAAAGGCAAACACATGATCCAGCTTGTTCCTCACATAACATACTTGTGATTACTATCAAGAAAGCTAGAAAATCTTTTATTCAAGATTGAGGTAAAAATTTAACCAAGGCAACTTAGCAAGGTAAATTCCTCGATAATTATCTGGATTTGTGTTTTCACCTTTATTCTTTAAAAATGGGATAAAAGCAAGTACACCATTCAGGGGGTATACGAATCCACTGTCTAAAACAATATTGAATAAATCAACAATAACCCTACGCTTTTCTAAGCGGCAACTTGTCCCAATTTCATTTCTGATCAAATCCATACCACAATCTTTGGCATTTTTCAATTTATTAACCATTAATTCAAGGAATGACGTCACACCAGGCGCGTACGCAGGATTTTTTTCGAGGGGGAGGGGGGTTTCAAATTTGAAAATCACGTCGAAAATTTCGCAATGACTCAGCCACCCGCTGAATAAGCGGGGGGGGGGGGGGGGGGAGGAGGGGGGGTAAGAGCACTTTTTTTTTTTAATTAAAAAAAAATTCAAATCGTCGTAACAGAAAACCATTGGAAAGGGACCCTTATTCTCTTCGTCAAAAACACCGAAAACAAGATTTGACATCTTTTCAACCTGCCAGACGTACGGCGCAGAAACCAGCAACCCAAATCACAGAAGAAAGCTCACGCCCTGTTCCGAAGAACGCCGACACTATGGCGTCGAACGGTGAGTCCGCCAACCGTACTGAATTCCTTAAACCTATTAACAAAATTATAGAGAAACTCGATAGTGTTAATTTGAATGTAACATCAAGGAGGAGTGATATAGCAGAAACCCGTAAGATGCTAGCCGATGTGGAAACTGCGGCCATGGACGTATCAGCAAGGCTGACAACCTTAGAAAATGTTACTTTGCCTAAAATGGAGGAGAAGAGGAAAGAATCTGAAAGTGAGTTGAGAGAGCTTATTCTTGCTATTGAGATTCATGACAGAAAGATGAATTTGTTAATGTACGGCGTAGCAAAAAGCAAAAATGAATGTGTGGAAGCGCTTTGAGATTGGGTTTACACATGAGGAAGCTCAAAACGTCATAATTAAGAATACACATCGATTTCCTCGACGGCCGTTTCAGCACGTCCAAGGAGAGGAGCAAAGAATGCCTACACCTGACCCCATCATAGTTCGGTTTGCCGGCATGCCTGATCGCGACGCGGTCTTGTCAGCATACCAGAAGTTGCAAAAACCGGAGACGACGAGGAAGCCCCTTTCACACCGAGCCATGCGTAGAGTTGCGTAGTGTTGCGTATCGACTACGCAGAGCGTACGCTGCCCTATGACGACCTACGTAACTACACGCTGAGGGACGCAAAGGGGTACGCGAGATGGACGCCACAAATTAAACATGTTTAAGTTTGTGGGCGTACGCAAGTTTACGCAACACTACGCTACGGTACGCCAAGCCTATGCAAAAGTACGCTACCCTACGCCAGTCCGACGGAGCAGTAAAAGCTTACGCACACAGTAAGCAACCGTACGCCAGGCCTACGTCAACATACGCAACCCTACGCTTGTTATACGCAAACGTACGCCGCTAAGTACACCAATTGCATACGCCGTAGGTACGCGCTGCCTATGTACAGGGTACGTAACCATACGCCATCGTACGCCAGGCTACGCATAACCTACACAGGGACTACGCCGAAGCAACTTTTTTTCATGAATAGTACGCAGCCTAATTTCGGCGTAGTTGGTACGCCACACCTTTAGTTGGATTGGTTGGGTTTTGGGGATTTACAGCAAATATGTGGTCACCTGTGGCTTGCTTGGTATTGCGCCGAGTCTCGCAAAATGAGACACATGTGTTTTTGTGTGTAGTTTTGTTTGTGCTAGACATCACTGTGATTGTCATAGGTGTTGCAGTAGATGTTTCAGTGGCCTAGCGCATAGTGTAGTTATTTGATTGATGTTACAAAAGATCAAGAAAAACTCCACAGAATTTGATTTTCATAGTTCCGCGGTAAAGTTGCTATTTAATGGATAGTTTTTGGAAATCGTGAAAAGAGAAATGATGTTTTAGAATTCGTTGAAGGTATCGTTTAACAATGTTAAATCTGAGATGCACGGCCCTACGTGTAATAAGTGTCTGTGATATGTAATATTAAAGCCCTTAAAAAAAAAATCGGCTTCAAAATGATCAAGAAGTGCCTCAAAAAAATTAAAATCTTTGAGTTAACGGTTTTACCGTACTAGTTTTCCCCAATAGACTGTAGTGTTATGAAAACTGTTAGGAAAACGCAAAGTATGGT